CTTTTTTTGATTTAATAATGGTTGAAGGAGGTGGACCTATTGTTAATGGTATATTTGATAAACAATTGAATGATAACTAAGTAACTGAAGCTGTAAACCTTATTAAGGGATGAAAATGATTTCTTATAGGTGTAGTTTGATGAAATGATAGAATTTACTTGTTAACTTTATGGAAGATGGGAATTTCTCTTTTTTTTTTTTTTTACCTTGCTGAAATGATAAAGATTTTGGGTATTTGAAGAATTAATTAAATGAATAATTTTTATTAAAAGGAAGATTATTATAAATATAATAATGTTGTTATAATTGAAAACGATTGAAGGATAATTAAGTAATTGAAGTTGTAAATCTTATTAAGGGTTCCAAACGACTTTTTATAGGGTAGCTTCATGAAATGACAGAATTAATTTGTTAACTTTATGTGGGAATTTTTTTTTCATTTCTTTTTTTTGTATAAGTAAGGGATGGTGTTAAACTATCTTGCTGAAACGGTAAAGATTTTGGATATTTGAAGAACTAATTAAATGAATATTTTTTATTAATACGGAGGAGATGGATTGTTTAAGTTTAGACTTTGGAGTTAGAGATATTAATATTTGTCTACTTGTATTTGAATATTAGCCTAGGTTGGTTTGGGAAGTCCGGGGGGTGGGGGGATGGGATATAACATTGTGTAATATTTGTGATGTATTTCTTTTTTTTTTATGATAAAACAATAAAATTTTATATTGGAAAAAAAAAAAAGAAGAAGCTACTCTATGAATTATGGTTTAGATGTGGGCAGGAGTTATTTAGTTAATCACCATAGCTTTCAAAATAAGAAGTAATTAAAATGATATTATTTCCAAATGTGTATTTACATTCTGCTCCAATTCCTTCTTAGCTTTCCTTAAAATAATATAAAATTAATTAATTAATTAATTCCACGCAATATCAATTATCAAATTTCTAAGCATACATATATAATAATAATTATAGGAATGGTAAGAATGAGTGAATGAAAATTGAATATGGTGTTCTCTTCTCCATTATTAGCCTTTCAATTCCCTTTCTCTTCTATTTCCTTTTAAGTAGCTCCACTCATTTCTTCAAGGCATTTCTTTTAACAATTCAGCTGGGGAGAGAGTGTTCCTGAATGAGAAAGGAAAAGCAACAGGTGGATTTGACATCACCAACTTGATCACTTTTCCAAACAGATCCTTTCAGAGAGTTAGAGTTGGAAAGCTGGATCTACAGGCCCCAAAAGGGAAGGAATTACTCATTGATGAAGATGTGATCGTCTGGAATCCAGGTTTTAACCAGGTGAATCGACAATGCCATAATTCATTATGGTCCCATATTGAACACAGTCTCTTTTCATATCTGAATTTCTGGTTTTTTAAAGAAACAATGGCAAATTCTTTTCAAATGTTGATGACGAAGCACTTATATAACAATGTAAAAGCCATGGTTGCACATTTGGTTAGCATTTGTGTTTTAAGTCATGAGAGTAGTCACTTTTCCATTAGATTGTTAACATGTGCACTTATTTACTCATCCTGCCCTTCAAAAAGGATCTTTTGTACATCATTGTAATTTAAGTATTCTTTCAGAAGTAAAAAATATTTCCCCACAATAAAGGAGAAAAATTAAGAACTGTTTTAAATACCCCCAATTTCAAAACCTTTTATGCTTATCACCAGGTTCTTCCACTTTCTCGATGCAATGACCCTTGTTTCCTTGGATCCTGGAAGAAAGGGATTGAGGGGGATCAATTCTGCTGCTATGCCTGTGTTCCATGTCCAGAAGGGAAGATTTCAAATCAAAATGGTAGGATAGGAATTCTATCATTTTTTATTAGAATTAAGCAAACTTTAATAAACTACTTGGAGGCATCAAATTAATAAGACGATTTTCAGTAATATGAAATGCTTAGATGAAAAAGTATCCTTGATTTTTCTTCCAGATATGGATGACTGTTCTGAATGTTCAGAAGATCATTATCCAAATAAAGAAAAGAATGGATGTATCCTGAAAATGCTGATCTTTCTAACTATTGAAGAAGCCTTAGGAATTGGTTTAGCCTCGGCAGCTCTTTGTTTCTTTTTCTTGACATCTTGGGTACTTGGAACTTTTATTAAGCACAGGGATACTCCAATTGTCAAAGCCAACAACAGGTTCCTCACCTACACCCTGCTTGTCTCTCTTCTGCTCTGTTTTCTCTCCTCTTTGTTCTTTCTCAGCCATCCTGGCAAAGTGACCTGCCTTCTCAGACAATCAACTTTTGGAATTACCTTCTCAGTGGCCATTTCTAGTGTATTGGCCAAAACCATCACTGTAGTAGTGGCTTTCATGGCCACTAAACCAGGATCTCCGATGAGGAAATGGGTGGGGAAAAGATTGGCTTTTTGTACTGTCCTTTCCTGTTCTCTCTTCCAAGTATTGATTTGTATTATTTGGCTGTCAACATCTCCACCATTTCCTGAGTTGGACATGTATTCAGAGCTCCAAGAAATAATTTTACAATGCAACGAAGGGTCAGCTTTCTTCTTTTATTGTGTCTTGGGCTACATGGGTATCTTGGCCATTGCCAGCTTTTTTGTGGCTTTTCTTGCCCGTAAATTACCTGACAGCTTTAACGAAGCCAAGTTCATCACCTTCAGCATGTTGGCATTTTGCAGTGTGTGGGTCTCCTTCTTTCCAGCCTATCTGAGCACAAAAGGAAAAGCCA